TACCACCAGCTAATGTTCCAACAGTATCATTCACCTTTCATTAAAACATTAATCAAAATCAATATTTTACAACTAAACAGTACTTAACATGTTTTCTGTTAAGTACTTCTATCAGTATCTTTTTCCCTCATACACTCTTAAATGGAATAATATTCTGCAGCACCAGATAAACTCACCAGAGCTGAGACCCGCATATCGACACCTTTTCTTTTCATAGCTTTTGTGAGTTCTCCAACAACATCTTGGCAAACCTATGTCCAAGCAACTAGCACAAACTTAGATCCATTGGACTTTTACGCAAAGGACATTTCAAGTTCCCATTTTAGCAATGAAAGGCACATATGATTAAATAAAATATATTTAGTGTGTGTGTTTGTGTTTAAGTAATACAATAAAAAATAAGTACAAGCACAAAAGATAATGCTATGGAACTGGATAAATTGCAGTCAAGTGAAACATGAAATGAGAAAAACCATATGTTTTGAACTTTCTGATTCAGATGGAGTGATGCAGTTTTACTTCTCATCTAGATTTAGTGACTAGTTTCTTATACAAAACTTAATTGTACTTGTATCGAAACCATCTACAAAGAGAAGCACCAAACTTAGGTTGCACCTAACATTTAGCACTTATCTGCACCTTTAATAACACCGCTTCCATATATGCTGATGAAATCTTAAAATATCTACTATCAAAGTATTCTTTCAGGCCAAACATATTTTAGCATCTAGGCCAAACACATTTTGAAATATAAATCAGCAGGCTGTTTCAGTACCAGTATAACCAAACCGTTCACTCTATATGTAATCTTCAGAACTAGTAGAAAATAATCTGAAATCAAATTGGAAAGAACACAAACAAGCTGCAGAGAGTGGATGGCTAGAATTACAAGGAACTACAATAAACAGGAAACACAAAGTAGCAATGACAATGCATACCGCATCATCAATAGAGAAGCCTTTTGTCCACCGCATAATAGTCCCAGAGTTGATTGAAGTCTGCATTACTGGGAATGAGAAGGTGAAACCTAGTTCTCTCTGCTTACCAGGAGGTTGATGAAATTTTTCCTCTTCCGCAGCAACAAATTTTGCAAGCTCAGCCGCAATATAATCAAAAAGTGCCTGAAATCATGTCAACTTTAGAGTTCAAAAGAAACAAAGTAGAAGAATATGGCAGGCTACAACATCTCAACAGGTCAAGTACTTACATCTGAAGTCCCAACCATCAAACTTGGAGGAATTGATGCCTCAGCAAATTCTTGATGAATAATACCACCATCTTTTCCACCCAATTGCACTCGCAATACTCGAAAATTTGTTCCACCAAGATCCAATGCATAAAAGACGCCAGCTTCATCACTAAATTAAAAGGGTATTGATGGAACAAACATTTAGCATATCCTCAGTTCATAATGGGCTTAGACCAGCCACCATACAGAATACTTCAAATCACTCGAATAAATATGATTGACAACACACTTGGCTGTACACTCTTTTGGCAGTTTAAAAGAGCACCATAATACTGACATTCTGGATAGAAACAATGGCTGCAAATCACACATCATAACCAATGCAAAGAAATTTTACGTCAATCGCATATTGGAATGACAATGCTCAGCACATCAATTTCAACTCAGGATATGTCCAGGGGACATCAGGGGAATTTGAGGAGTAACTTTATACTGGTGAGAAAAATTCAGTTACCGCCAATAAAGTTTCTCTTAGGTACATCAATGAATAGCTTAATAAAACAAAGAGGACATGCAGAGCAGTAGAAAACAAGAAAATACAAGTATCAAAGTAGAATTCCCAATTTCTCAACTTCATGGAAATGATATCTAAATACTCCCCAACACTTGCATATAAAACAGAACCAACATTGAGAAAGACTGATTTTTTAGCTCATTCGTACTCTCCTCAGCTTGTCCCGATTAACTAGAGATTATGAATTCTTAATCTGAGATCATTCTAGACAATTAAATTTTTTTTTAGGGAAAGTAGCTTTTGATCCTTTAAATATTCGACTAAGCATATTTAACCTTGACAAATCAGGTTCCACACAGCTAACGTCCCCAAAAAACCCCCGTAGCCAAATCTATAACAGCTGAACCGTAGAGCATCTAAGCTTCAATTTTGAAACTCAACTTACAATTATTATCTTACAAAGTCACTTTTTTTGATGAAAAAAACTGAAATCAACAAAGAAATGCGACTTTTCCATATAATAACTATTAGTTCAGTGACCATTTTGAAAAATCAAAACAAAGAAAGATTCAGATTTCTACTAAAAAGATCATTTTTTTCCTTTCTACCAATGAATTGATGACACCCATCAATAACGACAAATCATCACTGCTAGATTTCAATCCATACAAGCAATGCTTAAAAAAGAAGACTAACCCAGTTGGGAGATTATCGACATAGGTGATAAGCATCTTGAGCTTGCTGCCGCCTTCAGAAGCAAGTCCGGCGTGCATCTCAACAGTCATAGCATCAGCAACTTGCTTAAGCTTTGCATCTTGAGTCTTACACTTTTCCTCAAATTCACGAAGAATAGCCATAGCACGACCCCATTTACTAGATTTCCGCATCCGGTGGTTCACTATTAACGCCGCCACTGCACACACCGCAGCTGCACCAACCACGGCGGCTCCCACCGTCACTTTCTTCATTTTTTTGCCGGAATTTGAGGTTGGCAAAAAGTTGGTCCACTGAGAAAAAATGAAATCAGTAAAGTAAAAATTTGTGTTTTTTAAGGAGAAATAATGAAAATTACAGAGAGGGTGTCTCTGTTGGTTAAGAAGGAGATCGGATCAAAGGAGAGTTCAGTAATTCAATGAGAAAAAAGGGGGAAATTTAAGGTTAATTTGTAGACTGGATTAGGATATATTTGCTCTCTATTTATTACAAATTTAGATTTTCATAATTTTGCTTTGAATGAGAGTTAATATTAAAACAGAAAATGACAAAAAATAAAGTCTTACTTATGTTTGGTAGTTGGTAAAAAAAGAAAACAGAAAAAAATATTCTTCTATGATAAATGAATTGCATTATTCCAGGGATCACAAAAAAAATAAAAATAGGTCAATTCAAACAGGCTTTTAGTATTTATTTTTAGTGTTAGATTTCTTTAATGTAGATTTGATTTGGTTAAGTAATTAATTAAGGGAAACGGATCGAGAGAAATTTTACGAATACTTGATAAGATTATAACCCTTAAATATAAGAAACTATTTGAGATTTATATATTTATTTTATCATATGCCATGTTTAATGTATTTATTAGATTTCGACACGTAAGTAAAATAGTACCCCTAGAATTATTCGAAACCAAAAGAAGTAGGAACAGCTAACCTATTTTCTAAATGAAATCTTTATACTTTTTTAATTATATATTGTGGAGAACAACAAATTTGTACCTATTTATCAACAAATTTTATTTTTTCCCCAAGATTTATATTTTGTGGGATGTTGATGTAAGAGCAGACAGCCAAAAACGTCCTTCTCCCCCACGTTTGTTCTGATGGTTAGGGTTATAGAAGAAATATCACATCATATATATATCTTTCTTTGTTGCTAACTTTTATATTTTAGATATTTATTTGCTTGAGTTGTGTACATTTTATTAATATAGAAAACTTAAAAAAAATATATCTGTCGATCATTAATTTATTGACATGTTTGAAGTATCACTATTTCTAAATTAGATGTTTAAAAGATACTTATTTGATTGTAATTTTTCCTATTAATATATGACTTTTTCCAATCATTCCTTGTATTTTTACAAAACGAATTCTACAAATATATCAATTTTTGAGCTGGTAGTAAGAATACATCAATGCTTGATATGAAGGTTTAAACTAACGTTATAAATTCAGATAGTATAATAATAGAAAACGATCACTGATTCATTATCACCAAATTTCGAACCATACACTTATGATTCTAGAAAAAATATTATTATTTAAAAAAAGATCATTAAAAATACTTTAATCTCTTATTTATTATTCCAATTTATTAAAAATAAGTAGTAATAAAAAAGGCAACGTAGAAATGAATCGAGGTGATGATGTATTCACCTATAAAGGAAATATATGAGTGGGATACACCAGATTAGAGACCTTTTCTTAGGCCAGTTGATCAAAGTAGAAATTAGGTGCATAAATTCTAATATTATTAAATTCTCATTTTCTTTGACCTTACTTTTTCAGTATTAGAAAAATAAAAATAATAAACGAAAGAGCCTCTCAACTATTTTGACCAACACATTACCAAAGCAAGAGGTTTAGACTTTTAAACCTTTTACTTTGACCTCACACAACTTGAATGAATACAATCGTTGACCCTTCCATTGCCATTTTTTCACGGCATGCGATCGTGCTATTGATTTTAAATCAAAGTTACTACGTTCGATCCAATCGATAACATTTACTTTAGCTCCGCTACTGCATTTACCTCGATTGATTCCACAGGATTACTATACCTCCTACCAATACATTTACAAGACTGTTCACCAAAAATTAAAACATATGAAAATAAATTAGCTCATATTTTTTTATTATGCTAGATTTTAACTTGAGATCTCACAGTTTTCAACGACTCTACTAATCACGAGGTTACGCAATTGAAGTTGCCTTTCAGCCCAAAAGTGAATATTGGCCCAAACTACTATCTACACAAAAGCCCAACTCGGTTGCATATCTAAAAGGAGTGGGCCACTGAATGTGAAATTTTCGTAAGTTATACGAAATCTCGCTGACAGCCCACATGCTCCAACGGTCATATTTCTGAAATTTCAGATTTAAAAATGGCTACCTACTATTCTAACGGTCATCTTCTTCATTCCTTTCGTTACTCTCTCCCTGACTGTTCAACGTTCATATATACCAAAACTTTTCAAAAAAAGGAAAAAGTGAAAGAGAGAGGCAAAATAAAGAAAGTAAACAGCAATTTTCTCAAATCAGAAGAAATTGATATTTGATTTCTTTGTGTGACTCTGCCATGGATATGGGTGCTACGCCGCCACCGAAAAGGACTCCATTATTGAGTTCTCCTACGTCTTCTGCAGTTCCAGATCGTTCGCTTTCTGGTATGTTGCTATTTCCTTAATCATGAATATTTACACTAATTGACCTCACCCATAAATTGGGTTCTTGAAAACCCTTAGATTGAATTAAAGTCCCACATTAGTTGGAGAATGAACTATCGGTCCGCTTATGTAAATTTAGACAATCCATCTTTTGTGAAATAGTTTTTGGATTGAGTTAAACCAAGATGTCATATCTTTACATGCTATCGGAGCCGGTTATGGCGTGAATGGGGTATTAGACAGGAATAAAGTTCCATATTTGTTTGGAAATGGATTCAGAATACTTATATGTACTTGGGCAATCTTGATTAAAGTTCCATATTTCTTTACATGATTACTGTGAAAGGTATTCATCACAAATTGTATTATTTTGTTGATATAAATGTCTTTTTTTCTACTAACAGGGTCAAGAGAATCGAATGAAAATGAGCAACCACTTAACCAGAAACCCATGACTAAGAATTTCATGTCACCCACCATATCTGCAGCTTCCAAAGCTTCAATTCCAATTAGGAAGAAAATTTTGGCAGAAAGAAACGAACTTTCCACCACCTGTGAAACATTTCCTCACAAAGCCTCAAATGTTGGGTCTAAGACCAGTTCCCTAAATTCGACCTCACATCGTTCTGGAAAATTACCTATTGCTTCCTACAGTTATGCCTCTGAATCTGAGAATGATCAAGAAAACAACTCTGTTGTTGATTCCTCATATAAGCCATATGACCCTCTTACTAATGACCTCGGCCCTAGACCGAAGTATCTCCGTTACCAGCCAAATAGGCGTCGTGGGACCTTTCTTGATCCCCAGAAATCTGATGATGATCAAGTGTCATTGCAGCAAACTCAAGATCCCTTAAATCTTCCTGAAAAACATAACCTGGAGCCGGAGAATGATGAAGATGTGGTGGAGGATAGTGTTGAGGATGATGAAGAAGAAATGGAAGAGGATGTGGACCGGGAATGGAGTTTGAAAGGGGTCTTCAAGATTCTGCTTTTATTGGTTGTTTTCTTTCTGTCAGGCTCAAATTTATCATCCATGGACTCTGTGGTGAGTTCAGGTTCTGGTGTTGTGATTCGGAAGAACATCTTTGAAGCTGTTTTCTATGAAATTTACGGGAGTGAGAGCGCATATGTGGATCAGCCAGAGTATTTTCAAAGTGGTTTTCTGGAATTGAGTCAAAGAGAAACTAATGATGAACTTAAGGCAGTCGAAATTGTTGAAGATACTGTGGAGTTGTTGGAAGTGGGAAGTGCTGAAATGGAGGAAACAACTGAGTCACAGGAAGGACTGAGTGCGGATATTGATATTGATCAGGACAACACGGAGGTCGAAGTTACTTGTAGTGTTGTACATGGTGATGAAGAGGAGGAAACCATGTCAACAGCTGCTGATGAAGTTACTATTTCCAATGAAGTGGATGAGGAAGAAGTTGGTGGTTTTGATGAGCAGCAGCTACAAGAGAACCTTGAAGTATTGCTTGATGACATTTCAAGCTCCAAATTTGAGCTAGCAGAAGTTGACAACAACGTTGAGCAGGTCGAAAAAACCTCACAGGAACAAACTGGAGAAGTAGAAATACCGGAGATAGTACCAGAAGGAACTGAAGAAATTGAAACAGAACTTGAAATCAGCAATCTTGACACTGAAATAGAGTCAGAGAATGCTGAAGGCAAAGAAAATGGACTCAGTAACGCTGTAATTGTCATCGTTGGAGTTTCAGCAGCTTCAGCGCTTTTGGTTGCCTCTATGGCTATCATCTATGTTACAAGGAAACCAAATGCTTCTATCGAAACTCCTCAAGCTGAAATACTCAACAACTCAGCTATTGCTAGTGTTGAAGGAGAACTCTTAGAGAAGAAAACTGAAACTTCTGTAAAGGTTTCATCTTTACAAGAACCAGTGAATTATCCCTCCGAAAATCGCAGGAACTCTCACCTTGAGAGTACACCTGCCATTGGATCCATTACACAAGCTTCATCTTTGTGTGGACCAACGAAAGAAGCATCGAAAGAAATCAGCCACTTCAGTGCACCAAAGATTGAACTACTAGGTGAAATGATGGTTGGAGAAGTCAGCAGCTCCCTTAGAAGCTGTGTTAGGAAAAACAACATGATTGAAGCAGAAGGTAGCAACACTAATATATCTAAAGGTGTTGTTTTACCTCCTGCTCAACCAACAGATTCTCCATCATATGGAAGCTTCACAGCTGAAAACAAGATCTTGAAGAAAAAGGTATGCTGCAAAGTTCAAGTTAAATCTTTATGTAGACCTTTCTTGTATTTAGATTAAAGCTTCAATCTTTAACTATTTTACTTGTAAAAACAGGTGGAGAAAGATGGAGAAGAGATCAAGAAGGTGATGTTGACAACCCCAGTTAGGAGATCAAGTCGAATTCGAGATCGTATTGGCATGTCCCCTTGAATGAATTATTTACTGTAGGAGTTTTTCGTTTGTTTTAGTGGAAACAGCATCTCTGTTGTTTCATATTCTTTGATCTTCTTACAGATCAAATTCTAGGAATTAATGTATCAAGTGCAAAGTGCAAAAGCATTAGAGTTGTAACTTGTAGGAAATGATGATCTTAAACTTTCAATGGAGAATTCACTTATCTTCTATGAATATTTTGCAAGCTAAGAGAGATAAAGATCAATGCATCCAAATATCTGCAGAGCAATTAAACAGAATTGAAGTTTTCAAGGGCAAATAATATATCCAAAATTGAAGTATACAACACAACTCTTTCTCACTCTCTAGCTAAATCTCTCTTTCTGTTTGAATAAATACTACACTCTCCTTATTTTCTCTTTTCTCTGTACTACACACTACATCTCTTGCACAGGAATTAGAGGGGGTCTGCTCCTGCTGATAAAACTTGCCTTTCCATTAGTAAAAGATGCTGAAAATGATGAGCTTCTAGAAGCTTTCTTCAATATAGTTGCCTTAGGAAGAGTATATGATTTATAAGAATCCAATCCAGCACCATAGCTCTTACAAGACTTCATTTTTCTTCTGTATGGTGATTCTTTCTTAGCAAGATCTTCTAAACTTGTCACTCTTGACAAAGATGTAAAAGACTGTGATTTCCCTTCATAAAACTTAGATAATCCCCTCCTGCAATTCATAAACATCAAAAAAGGTATAAGCTTTTCACTCTCATTATTATTATTATAACAAGATTCATTCTTTTTAGTCATACTTACTTGATTGGTAGTTGTGACATGAGGGATGATAAGTCATACAAAGCTCCATCATCAGAAGAGGGTGATGAAGATGCATCATCTGTTGTATCAAGTGAAGATGAACAACAAGATCCATTAGAGATGTTTGATGATCCTTCACCAATGGATGATGAAATTGATGATGAAGATGAATGGCTCATATTATCACAAATTTCACCATGATCTAATTCATGTCCTTCATCTATCATCCATAATTGATGCTCATCTTGATTAATCTTCTCCATATGATTCAAATTTTCTTGATTCTTGAAATTGAATAAACAGATTTAAAGATGAGATAAATAGATAATAATAACAATGTGTGAGTTAGCAAAAAGCTTTAGTCTTTATCTTTTATAGGCACATACAATACAAAACATGGGATTGTTTGTCATTTCTAGGAAGGCATTTATATTTATATATATATATATATGTACAAGAAGATAATGTGTGGATATAAATTAAACATTTACTTTTTAGGACTTTATGACAGCTAAGAACACAGAAACTTGCGTCACACCCCCAACTATTACCGACACTTGTCAAACAACCACACGATCGTTACACTGAGCTAAAATTTGAAATTTATGAATTTTGAATTTTTCATCAAACATATAACACGTTTAACTTTGAAATAAATATTTTGCATATATGTAATGATTTTCTCTTATATAAATACAAGATTTTAGAGAAAAGTTATTGAATTCATTCCAATTTATAATTTGGTATTATACACGTGTCAAAAAATGAAGTAGATAACACGGCAAGAAATGATACATTATTGTGATAATAGAGAAATTCTTGATTTAAGATAACAATATTTAATTGAACGAATGAAAAAAATATAAGTAGGGCTTATCCAGAGATTCGATATTATCTTGTCGTATGGTTTGAAATAAATGTCTTGACTTTAAAATTGCACTAAGTTAAGAAAAAGAGGATAAGCTCTATGACTATGAAATTAATATTATGATATATATTAGCCACCAGTATCTGAGTCACCAGCTAAGTCCACAAATATTAAAATAAAAAATAAAATAAAAGAATATTCTTTTTTATTTTTACTTGTGTTTTTTATGATAAGAAGCAAGTTGTAGATAAAATCATTGACTAGGAGACATGGGGGCCATTCTTGCATACCACTTTTTCTACCTACTTTATCCTTTTCAAATTTTTTGAAACACCCTCAAGATTTAGGATTGGAGAAAAACATATCAACAAAAATCCATTTGCTTTTTTAAAATCTGTTTTCCGGACACAATTCAATATATTTATCTTGATTAGCTTTAATTTAAAGTGGATTCAATCAAATGTATTTATCTTGATTAGACTCACGACTCAAACTAATTATTCAATTGTCTACTTATTCTATTCACTGAATCACTATTTTTTTTTATCGTTGGTATCATCAAAATATATATATACTCTAATGGTATCAAGTAATATTGATAATGGAGTTCGATCCCACAACACTAGTGTGAAAAATATTTTCATTGCTCATCTTTACAATTGAGTTATCAATCATTTTTGTTAGAAAATCACAAATTAATATACATATCTATTTATTTAATTTTTTAATATAAATACAGAAAGTTAATAAATTCGTCGAAACCTACGAACTCCACCTAGCTCCGTTCTTGGAGGGGGGTCAAGAATAGTTTTTTTTTTTCATAGAAAAAACGTGAAAGTAGTCGTACTGGTTAGTCTCCAAATACGGAACATTACTGTAATTTGAAAAGGTCAAATATTTTGGGCTTTGTTTAAGAATCCTATGATGTTTCAACTATTTTTCCTAATTCTTTTTTTTCTTTTTGGGTTATGACTCTAAAATTTTCTATACCATAGAAAATAAAGAGAAAAGTGGTAAAAGACTTGGGGGGCTGTTCAAACCAAACTGACAAAAAGAAAAGGCTTGATTTGATATTGAATGGGAAAAAGGGGGAAATAATCAAAACTATTTATATTTATAAATAATAGAATTTTCTCTAAAAATATATGTTAGGAAATATTTGTGATTCTTTTATTGGGTATGACATTTAATAAAACTTTATAGGGCATTTATTTTTATATATATTATATTTTATATAATGCTTAATTCAGCATGCATCATTTTAGTTATCAAGTGTTGTTGAAAGGTGAAAAAAAAATTATATTCATATTTCAAAATATATTAACTTTGTATATATATTTTCTTTGAATTTGAGAGTGTCAATAATTATTATTATTTGATTATGTTTGAACGTGGGCATCCTTGAAAAAGTACTTCTATCATGTAATATTTAATCTATAACTCTAATTTAAAATAATAGTTATGAGATAAAAACTAAAATAAAAAATCGATAAAATTGAACCGTTCAAATTAATTTGATTATAATAAAATTGAATCAAATCAAGTTATGAAAAAGTACATATAGAGAGATAAGAGATAAGACTTAGGTCTATTCGAAAATACATCAACACAACTTCGCTACGATGGACCTTCTTATCCTGTTATCCATCAATCTTTTTGTTTTTTTCTTTTCTTTATATTACGTCCGTTTCATGAAATTAAATTGATATAAAATTACATTTTATTTAACTATGGTATTTAAATTTGTTAAATTATGTTTTTTTTCTTTTATATTATAAAAATTTCACAAGTTGTGAAAATTGATAAAAAAAATTCAAATGAGCAAGTTTATAAATAAGGTATCAGATTATCTAAAGTTTCTCATTGATAAATTAAATATTTTTATATTTTTTTATTAATAAATATTTACTATAAATTCAACATCTCTTTACACTGAATATAACTCTTCTTTTTACAAAATATAAATTTATAGGTCACTTTTTATATTTTAAAAAATAATAATAATAATTTAAAATTTAAAATTATGTATTTTAAAAATTTTAAAACGTTAAATCTAAATCATAATCCTAAATCACATACTCAAATATTAATTTAAAATCGCAATTTCATATCGCAACTTATTCTATTATATATCCCCACTCTTTATGAATTATAGGACGGTGGAATGATAAGTGATGAATTGAGCAGCTATGCATAAGAAAGAGTTGTTCTCCCGGATTAGATGCCCGCATCGAACCCATTTTTCTCTCTATTGAAGCTTCTCATTCCTAATATTCGAACCATCTTTTAGTTGTTTTATTTTATAAAACTTTGTGATTATTCGAGAAACATAATTTTTAAAGAAAAAAGCTTTTTTCCCTTAGCCTTTTGTTTTGGATACGATAACCACGTAACGCAAATAAAAGGGAAATAACTAGAAGCACAATCATAAAATAACTTATTATTATCATGTTGAGTTTGTTAAAAAAAGAGATCTAAATAATTGGACTTGTTGAGAGGTTGTTAAATAGTCGCTAGAAATCTAGAAAGATTTGATCAAATCAAATGAAAGAAGATAGAAGCTACAAATAACTCGGTTTCAAATTGTCTAGTCAACTTTGTTTGGCTTGTGTCAACATGACATTCTACTTTTTCTAGAAATTAAACTTTTCAATCATATAGTAGTATTTTCAGAATGTTATATCCCTATTTCTCCCTACTATATTCATAAAAATACATATTTTCAAATTCAAATAATATTCAACACTTTTCTCAACTTGATTATTATTGAAAATTATCTTGTGGCTGGAATTCCATTGCGGATTAAGAATAAAAATAAAACCATTTTCTCAACCATACCAAAGTAATATTACATCAAAAGTTAAATAATTTCAAATAGTACTAGACAGTGGCAGAGCCAAGAATTAGTAGTGAGCACTCACTCATTCAAGGTGTATGAAACCTACTAAAGGGACCTGAAATCACTAGGCTACAAAAGCGTTTCTTTATGTCAAGTGCGTCCAAAATATGTTATTTAAGATTTCCGACAAAGGGTATCCAAATTGGACTACCCTGACTTACATGTGCCTCTGCCCCTGGTACTAGAGCCCTTTCCTTTTTCTTTTCTTTTTTTAAATTCCTCTCTAATTAGAAGAGAAACTAAAATATTATAACAATAACATATATATCAGTGTAACTCGACCAACCTTATTTCTATCGTGTAAAGCTAAAATATTATCCTTAAAAAGAAGTTTTAAGATGGGGTGTAAAGGTACATTAATGGATGAGTCCAATTGGCTAGAGTTATCATAGACCACAAAACTTTTTTGTCTAATCAAAACGAAAACGATGTAACCAATGATTTTTCTATATTGTTAGCACCACATGAGTTGCAGCCTCTGCAAGGAACAATTACAATTAATTAATGATAGGAAAGAAATAACATACAACGTGAAGGGCCTATGTTTAATCACGTTGAAGGCACGTGTCTGAACAAACAACAATACGGTGTAATTATAACCGTGAAGTTTCAGTAGAGTAGAGTACATAAATCTTATCTTATTTTTATTTTTTGAAATAGAAATATTATTTTTGATAAATTATTGATTCAATAAAAAGTTATTCAAAATCAGTTTGAGAAAACTTTTCCTGCTAGAACATCCAATTAATATATACCTCATTCTATTTTAATTTGTTTAAAAATAATATCGCTTTTATAGTTATAAAAATAATTTAATTTAAAACTTTCTTCATTCTTTTACAAGTACAAAATTTTATAACATATTAAAAACTATGAATTTCATTTTTTTTTACAAATTTCATGCTAAATAAAATTATGCTTCGAAACATAAGTATCATCCAATTTTGAAAATAATAATAGTGTGAACAGTGATTCGAAGACGAAATAATGACTATCAAAGATTGTAGTAACATGATTAAAAAAAAATTCAATTTTAATAAGTCTTATATTTGATCCTACGAATGAAATAGACCTTAATATTATCCAAATTTAGAAAATCTTTTTGATACAAATTCAAATAAGTCGTACCTGAATAACAGATGAAAAAAAAAAAAGAATTGTGAGGGGGAAATTGTTGGGGCAGTATTACGTGGATGACTAGCTTATTTTCAAAATGGGCCTGTCATGATGGGCTTTGGGCTCAGATTGATCTTCTCCTGCTCGATACAATGTCCATTTCACATTGTACATTCTCGTTTATTCTCTTCTCTTTTTCTCTTTTGTTAGTTAGATCGATTCTCCCTTAATCAAAGACGATTTTTATTTTTTGATGTAATTTAGATATGCTAGCTATCTCTATTATTTTTTCGTCATATATATGGTTTGCTTACGAGGATCATAATTTTTCATGTGTTAGTGTAAGTCATTTGATTGTTCAATTTAGAATATAAGAATCGATGATCTTTTTATTTTTTATGGAGGACCTTAATTTGTCACACCATGATGAATTTCTAAAGAATCATTTACTATGTTTTTACGGAGAACAACTACCCTCTTATCACATTATTTTCTATTTCTTCACACTCATTATTTATGTAGCGTGATTGACTGTCCTTTTGTATGATGTGTTTTATTTCTTTGTTGCTACTCACTGTGCCTATATATTAAACAAAATGTACAGCTTTTGTTTCATTCAGATCTGCATATTGTACCTACTTAAATAATTTTGTCGATAGCATAGAGCAAAGCGTAAGCAACAAATTGCAAATCGTGAATTACTTATTATAAATACACATCTTAATAAAAATGACGCAAGAATTAACAAGCTAAGTAAGCAGCATGGTTTGGTCAGTTTCACGTTTCAAGCACGCCCCCCCTCCAGTTTGGCTTATATAACTAGCTATAAAAAATAAAATTAATCTGTTATATTATTGTAGATTAAATTAGTTATTTAGAAAATGAATACTTTTGTCTTTTTTTATTATTAATTTTCGCATTTCAATATACATGTTCTTGTGCATATTTATTTTTCTTAGGAGGCCAATAAAACTATATGCTTATTATGTTTCTTAGTAAGCCAATTAAATAGCAAATGATATCATATTAAATTTACAATATATATACATATAATATCTAGTTAGTTTTATGAAAAATTATAAATTCACCTGCCTCAATTTTTGCCTATATTCACTCTTGGAGGCAGACCAGCAATGCGTTAACGTTGATACCGTCACATATATACATATGATATATTAAACAATGTCTTAGAACTTCAACTAGCTAGCAAGAAAATCTTTTTTTTTTCTTCAAATTCCATACATTCAAATTCTTCTAAAAAAATTTAAATTGGCACGTTAAATATCCTTAAGCTCGTGGATTGCACTTATAAACAAGTAGGATGTAAAAAACATTTTAAGCAAGTAGTTGAAGCACATTGGTGAAGTTAGTAGGTCGTTTACTTAGTCTAATGCTTCATTTCTTTCCAAATCTACTCACTCTAACTTTTGCTTAATATCTAACAATATATACACTTGGACTCTTTAGATTCAGTTACGACCTCATTCTCTTGAGTTTAAATAAGTTTGTATGCATATTGAAAAATACATGCATGGCATTACTTTTAGTACAATATAAGTTATTAATTGATCAACCAGTTCAAAATACGAATCGATAACCCTTCTTTATTTTTTGCAAAAAGTTTTTATCAATTTGCTATCCTCGAAGCTCCCCTACTGATAAAGGACCATGTATAAAATCAAACAAGTGAATCATTATAAAAAAATTTGGTGACTTAAACAATTCAATAGGGTTTATCTAGTGATTGTCCATTTGTGTGATATGCCTTTTGTTGTTGCTGACTATATGTCCAAAAAAAAGACAAAATGCACACCTATATCATTATACCAAATTAATAATTTTGTCTATAGCATAAGCACAATCATTGTGAATCAACTGCATTTCTCATTTCTACACCCTTTTAATTGATTACAGAAAGAAAGAAAAAACTCAAAATAAGAAGTAGGTAGGGTTGTAGAAGGAAATTAACATTTTTCAAAATCCAAAACCAAACAGAAATCCTAATTAATTAATAGAAATCAGAACCGTAAAATTAGTGACAGTTTGAAGTTTCAAGCAATGTAGTACATTGGATCAGGCAATTTGAAAGTGCGCTGACCAACATAATCACCAAGCAAATCACTCCATTGATCTCCAATGTTGCCAACAATTCTGTATCCATCTTTCACCAACTCCGCTCTTTTCCTTGACTTGTACTTCATTGATGATCCTGTATCATTTACTCCCCTGTACGTACCCACAACAACAAATATCTCAGGCCATTAAAAACAGAAAAAAAAAACAATTGTAATATAGGGAGCGCTTCCCCTTTAACGAAGAGTATGAGTACATGCTTACTTCAAGATGAGCCTAATCCATGAATGGTACCCAACTTTATTTAGGTTTGTAATTCTTATTTGTCTAAACTCTTCCTTTGTTCCTGATATAAATACTGGTTTAATACCCATAGATAACAATGTATTATACAGAAACAGAGCTGCTGGTACTGTTGGTGCTTTTCCTTCTCTTGTCCACTCGTCGAATTTCGTCGCGTTGTATTTTATGGAGCTGATGACAATTAAATGTTAATTAGGCGAATTTGAATAGAGACGATTGAATCAATTTTAACTTAATTGAAAAGTAGTTACCCAAATGCAACATCAGAACGAGCGTAATAAGGAAGGTTAGAGAGAGTAGTTTCATCAATATCAAATACCCAAACATCTTTACCAATTTTGAGAGATTTGGCATACTGAATAGCCGCGGCGACTATATTATAACAGTCGTCGCGGTATTGTTTGCCAAGCATGTAGTGCCCGACGTAATCTTCGCATTGAAGGGGCACTAATGTCCAGTCCTGAATGTTGTTTGTTTCAACGGCTAGACGCCAACTGAGGCAGTTGATTTGAGGTACATGGCTCCCGGAGGACCCGGTTTTCGGGTGCAGAGGGTGGATTTGGTTGGGAATTAAATCTGCCTGGGATGATTTTGCAGCAATGAAAATAAGGACGTAGAAGAAAATGAACTTCATGTTGTTGTTACATTTCATTTCATGTGTGATTCGTCCCTTTATATAATAAAATTCGAACTAAGACGGACGCTCCTTCCTTTCATTTCATGACAATTTTGTGAACACTTTCTTTACATGATATCGATATCATTTAGTTTAGTGCTTCAGATTTCTTCAACTTTAGTAATGTAAAGTTAAAACGTGTAGTAACTATTTGGTTATTGAAATTAAATTTCAGAGAATTAGGTATATCATCTTTTATATGTGATAGCTAAACTAACCCTACAAAATGTGTTACAAAATAATATTTGAAACTAATTAATACTAATGGATCTCCCCGCCTATAATTTTCGTTTTCAATTTTACAGTCCCTAACGCAATGTTTTGTGTCGGACAAACCTACTCCCTTTTTTTTTTTATTTCATTCAATTATTGCACTTGATAAAATAAAATATATTGACCGTGATTTCTTTGATATTTTATTATACAATCAAACAAATACAAAAGTAAGGAGATATATATATATTATTAGTATAAGAATTTTATGTACCATCGATCGAATCACCATGAATTGTGTAGTTTTTGCCACAAAAGGATAAAATGTTGTGTCGCTATTTATTAGTAATATATTTTTTATTTCCTAAGCTCAAATCGGAGAACTATAATTTAGAGTGAACGATCCCCAATCGCTTCATTGCACCCCTTGCTGATTTCCATTTTATGTAACTTGTTTTTCTTACGGAAGTCATTTTCTTTTTTTTTTTAGGAAAGTTGTTTCTCTAGGAAAAAATATTTTAACCAATTAAATATGAAAAAAAAATTAAAATATTTTCCTCAGCACCAAATACCTGTGTATAAGATTATTTAGCTTGTCGTTGGACAACGCAATATTTTGGCTGGGATGTACCTACTCTCTTTTCTTTATTTCATCATCTTAATTATTGCATTTCACAAGATAAAATATAATAAGTGCAATTTTTGTCGTGATATTTTATTTTCCATATTATTTTATCATCAAATAAATACAAAAGTAGAGGCTTGTATGATTACATAAGATTTTCGTCCACTTATCGAAAAATTCCCTAAGATCCTTTTCATTTCTCTTCGCAAACTCTTTCTGAATATTGGTAACATCACTTTTCATAAAGTCAATAATATACCTCTTATTAATCATCTAAAACGATAATTAATTTAAACTAGTTTTTTGTGTATGAAATCTACATAGGATCAAAGGGAATTATACGTATGCTTTAATAGAATTCAGTATCTTTTCTACTGTCAATTATTCCTATTCACAAATGTTTTTTTTTTAAAATTTTATCTTGAGTCGAGGATCTATCAAAAATAACAAATCTATCCCACAAAAATAAAAATAAAATATGTGTACATTCCATCCTCTCTACATGATATGTTATTATTGTTGTTTACAATTTCTTTTCATCTTCATACTTGTACATGCACATTAAAATTGAGAAATAACAATTGTCATATCTGTTAACGTAACAGGTGACTGATATGATTGAACTCACTACCAAAAGTTGCCCAATAGCTGCATGCTTTGTGCTTTTGACCAACGATGCCTATTTATCAGGTCCAATATAATGCAAAAGGGAAGATACTGTTATATTCAATCTTTACTAAATTTTTTGTATATATTTATCCAGAGGTACAATTATTGAACACACCAAGAAAAAAGCTCTTTATTATGAGTTTTATCTTAGACGACAAAAAGAACCACCACCTATCACCTTTTCATTTTGAGCGATGAGTTACATATAAGTTATATATGAATTTTTATATCACCCGATTACTTTTATCTATTATAACAAGTGATCTTTCTTATTTTCAAGATCATAAATTTAAACCATCAAATCGCCATGAATCTCACAATTGGATTATCCACTAAAAAGGATAAAACACTCTCCATTAGAAAGCTTTGAATTTTTTTTAGGCTCGATCAATATCTATGGACCTTAAATCTTACTCAACCCCAAAAACTAATTCAAGAGTTAGAATTGTCCAAATCATTATAAAAAAGACCACACATTCTCTGTTTCGGCATTATACGAGAGTAGAAAATAGAAAGTTGTATCCTTCACGTGACTTGCAAGAATATTGAACTCACAGCCCATCAATGAAGTCCAAATGATGCCCAAAGGGAGACAACAATAGTAGCTTATTTACATAGCCCATAAGGTATACGCCAATCTTTTTCAGACTTCACCTATGAATTCTACTCGGTATATAGTTTTGAGTCAAGTTCTATTGATTTTTTTTTTTTGATGAAGTGAGTCAAGTTCTATTGAATTCCATATTGACAATTTCCAATTGTGAAAACAATAACTTAAAAGCTTTCATATATATGTACCTGAAAATTTTCGCTAATTGTTTCAGTCTTGAACACAAAAAAATATACAAATGCAGATTGCGATGGAGAACTGTTTCAGGATAATCATGTCAAGATTCAGGAACAATCATCCAAGTAGGAGCTTAAAATCATGACGAAGAGGTGTAAGCACCGCGAGGTGTGAAGCGATCTCGTACTAAACGAAACGACTTTCACTTTCCATAACAAAAAATGAAAGTATCTATCTAATAACGAATCCAAATAGCACATCTTAAGCATAGTTATACACCCACAATATGATACATTCATCGACAGCAGAGCGGAGACAGGATACAAAGTAGATAATTTCCAGAAATTGTCACCTGTGACCTGACCCTGATTCTGTCAAAACAATTGATCAGTTCAGTTAAATATTTGATTTCCAGAAACAGTGCCAGTTGTTCTAGTTCTACAAATAACCAGCTTCGCACTTGTAACTGTCTTCTATTCACTTCTCATCTCAACTCTGGCAACATGGGTGATGGGTGCTATTTCACCAATATACAGTTGCCTCTCTGACGAAGAGATGAGATCTTGTAACTACTTTCACATTAAAAACAATTCATGTCGTCTACAGCAGGTCATTCTTTGAGACAGTTTAATTCCTCATCACCAGAGTTCTCAGTATAAATTCAATGTCAGGTTGCTTTAGCACCATGCTGGCTCAAGCAAAAGCACAACTGAGTGGTAAGATCCTTTAACCGTGTAATCATGAGCATGCGCAGCTTAATCTAATCCTTGTTTGCATGTCACCTTAATGGGCTAACCACCCAACCGGTGATTGGATTTTTTCTGCGAACTCTTGATGTTCTATGAGAACCACTTTGTAAACGTTCAAGGATGGTGTATGTGATTGAATCAGCTGCCAAACCTTGTTCCTTCAATTTCGCATATAAACTAACAGCTTCTGAAGTTCTCCCACTTCTCTCGAGACAGTCAAGTAGGATATTGTATGTCACTATATTAGGATAACAGCCAGCTGCAAGCATTTCATCAAATAGCCGACGTGCTGTCTCAACTTTTTCAGTCTTCCCAAAGCACTCAATGAGAGTGCTGTATGTTACAACATCAGGATTCAAGCCCTTCTCCTGCATCTCGATGAATTTCATGTGCGCTTCATCAATGTCTCCATTCTTTCCCAGACAATTTATTAAAGAGTTGTAGGAGACAATATCAGGTTTACAATTGCTATTCTCAAGTTCTTCAAAAATCTTGAGAGCTTCCCCAACCTCCCCCGCTCTACCAAAGCTAGAGATCAAAATGTTATAAGTAAATATATCTGGTGAGGGGCCATCCTGTTTCATCTTTTCATAGAGATCATGAAGATGAGGAATCTGCTTTAGCTTCCCAAGTGCAGAGAAGACGGTATTATACATGAAGCTATCTGCTTTTACTCCCTTTTCACTCATCTTATTCAGCAAATCAATAGCCTCAGTTACTTTCTTAGAGTTGCATAAGCTCTCTAACATGGATAAGTAGGCATCACGATCTCCTCTATCATGGAAGCTCCACATATTGCAAAACAGCCTATGAGCTTCGCTTGCATGGCCTATTTTACTCAACGTTCTAACAAGATATGCGTATATCGATTTATTCATGTATCTCTTAGATATTTCCACAACTTCATCAAGTCGTCCAAGTTGCCCTTCTGCGGCCAATACATTTAAAATAATACTGTAAGTAAATTCATTGGGCCGGCAACTATTCTCCACCATCTTAGAGAAGACAAAGATACTCTTATCAACCATGCGGCCTTTCGCAAGAGCTTCGATCATAGTATTATAAGCAATTAAATTTGGTGAAATACCCTTTGACAGCATTTCCTGAAAGAAAGAAATTGATTCACCGGGCTTCCCTAATTTCCCAGTCATTCTAATCAGAATGGTATACGTATATTCATCAGGTTCACAGTGCCACTTCTTCATGTCCTCGAAAACCTTGTGGACCTGATCAACCTGGCAAAGTGCTGCACATTAGAATCATTAGCCAAGTAGAACCATATTCATCATATATTTCAAGACTCACTCGTGAAGTGGACTCAAAACACCTCTATAGCATTTTCAAATGCATGTATACAGTTTATTAAGTATTTTATCTCAGAGACAATAATTACATTTATCAGAAATCAAAACTCAATAAAAAGAGATCTGATCATACTAGTATTGTTCCAATACCAAGTAATAATGATGGCACCTGTGACTAGAGACCGATTTATTTGAAGATAGATAAATCAAAAACTTTCTTTCGACTTTTTTCAATTGAAATCAAGACTTTTGCCAACCCTCCTACTTCCCAAAGAAGGACACGTTAAACCACTCTCCCCATTCCTTGGTGAAAGAAAATGTTACCTTGTGATAAAAAAAGAAAGCTTGTGCCTAGCCGAAAAAGACTTGGTTAGCTAAGTAGAGGCATTTCCCCAAGATGTTGGCCTTAAGATGCTTTATTCATATTTTGCACTAATGACTAATAAAATATCTTTAAAGCATCTTAAAAAAAGTTCCTAGTTTTCCAAAGTATGTCCTTGTCCAAGGTTAAGTGAAAAATACTCCTAATAGTTGCACTACATAGACTAGAACTCTTCCTATCTACCTTAGGGTAAGACACTAAAAGAGCCAACATGTGTGTGTACAAGAAGGTTTAGAATACTAGAAAAAGTTCACCAAGTTCCACCTTAGTTGGAGTATGAACTTTCATACCCAAACTTGTGACTCTAGTTTTTCAACTGCTAAGCCACCCCTCTGGAGGTAAAGGTAATGCACTTCATTTTGCATAACTATTCCTTGTCTATTTTGTATATAACTAAGACGGCTTGTTTCCATTGAATTGGTATACCTAGTGCCACAAACTCAGTAAGGATTCACATTTCAGATGGAGAAACATGAGATGAACCATTTATCCCAAACTTAGTGTTTATTGCATTCATTAATTTCAGAAATTGAAGTTACAGACACATCTTTTACACCATATGTTTCTTCCCAAAAAAGAATAGCTAATAATGCCAAAGACAATGTCATACTGCAACTTAAAAACCTTAGATTCCAAAAAACTGAATAATATGAGAGACAATCACAAGGAATCCAAAGAACAAACCTTTTGGTCCCTAGCAAGAGCATCAAGAAGCATGTTGTATGCAAATATATCCAATCTGTACCCACGTCTCCTCATTTCTTGGTAAACTTTCAAAGCCTTGTCCGGATTGCACAATCTGATATAGGCTTGTAAAAGACACTTATAGCTATAGCAATTCAACTTCAAATCCCATTTTTGAACCAACCCCAAACACCTCGTTAGCTCATTAACACCATTCCCTTGGCCGTCACCAAATGTTCCAATAAGAAGATTGACAGTGGATATGTTTCCCTGAATACCAGTCCGTTCCATTTCATCAACAATCTCGCGGACGCAATCGAGCCGGTTCGGAAGAGAAGATTTGGAGAGGATGAGAAGGATACGGTTGTAAGTGAAGCAGTCATGACGGAATTTAGGGATTTCAGAGGGGCAAAATCGGAAGAAGCGAAGAGCGAGGTTTGGAGACTTTAGGGATTTGAGAACTTCAGAAGCTTCAGAGGGAGTTAGGGTTATTGTCAATGTATCGAGATAGTCAGATAAGTCAAGGAAAGGATCAGAAGAAGGGGAAGGAGGTGACTTCAGAATCTGGGAGACCTTACAGATTAGGTCACGGCGGGGAAGAGCATAGCCTCTGGAGTCGGTGTGAAGAGTAGGGGCATCGACTTCGACGGCGAATGAACGGCCATCTTCAGCTTCCACCACCACTCTGCCACTGTACTTGGTGGCGAAGCATCGGAACTGCTGCCGGAGCCGGTGACAGGGATGCCTGAGCTGCATGAATTATTTTGTTATGTTCAATTGGGTACAGAGAGGAGGAAGAGTAGAGGAACCCACCACCAGTGTATGGGCTGTTCTACTTAACGGCCCATTGCCCATTGCCCATTGGGCCGAGTCTCTTAATGGTTAAGGAAGGAGTTAATATATGTATACAGAAGATACACATTCACTAATTTGGTATAAACACAAAGATATCAAACGCTTGTGCCAATTTATAGATGCTAACAAAATTAGGTAATGAAGTTTAGACAATTTGTCTATGTTAATATACAGTACTGAGTGCAAAATGATAGAGTTTTGGGCTAAAATCATCCTTAAAAATATAACTCAAACTCAAGATACATCCTTATGGTATAAATGTGAACAAAAAACATCCTTTATCTATCCTAAACTTAGCAATAATCATCCTTCTGTTAACTTTTGTTAAAAAAATTAACAGCTGATATAAAAAAAAACACGTGGCAAGCATCTGACCTTTTTTCTCTCTCTAAATATAATATTGTTTTCCTTATATGTGTTTAAGTGCATTGCGTATGTTTTTTTTTTTGCAGTTTTTCTTATGTTTTGCCCAAAAGAATTTACTGATTTTCCTATTGATTTTTTTCTATTTACTATTGGCTTGTCAATATAATTTTTTTTTTGTTTTTTACTACTAGTTAACCAGTTTCACTGTTGTATTGCTGTTTTTAGCTACTTTGGTCTTGTTTTACTGTTTTTTGTTGTTTTTCTACGGCTTTATCAATATTTTGCTTTTTTTTTCTGCTGCATTGCTGTTTTTAGCTGGTTTGATGTTGTTTTTACTGGTTTTTGATAATAGTTTACTAGTTTTTTTTGTATTGTTTTACCAGTTTCTTTTTCGTATTTTTCAGGTGCTTTGATGTTTTTTTTTTTTTGGAGTATTTTCTGCTAGTTTTGGTGCTGTTTTTCTGCTGATTTACCAGCATTTTTGCTGGCTTATTATCAGTTTGAAGTGTTAATATGCTCAAGGTGGAAAAATGAAGAAAAAATAAGCCAAAAAATAAATACTCTCAGGCAACTCATAGTACTTTATTATTGCACTTAACAAACTTAGATACGTTTAATACAAGAAATTCAAAGCGAGATTAATACAACATAAACGACTACTTCACTATGACTTCACTTTCTCATCTTCTCTCTTTCCAATTGCAAGAATTCTTGTTGCTCTTGTGTAACCATGACATTAACTTCTTCTTCTCCTGCTGCTTTTCTTTTGTGTAACGATCTTCAATTTGTGCTTTGAGACCAATCTTTTTTCATGGAAGTGGATCTCATAAATTGGATTGACGCTAGGCTCTTTTTCTTTCCGGTTGAAATAGTCATAATCTTGATTCCTACAATAATTAAAAAGGGAGAAGATATTCTTAGTTAGCCGTTATAAAACTCATAAAGAAAAGAATATTAAAGAATACAAACAGGTCACTCGATTTTTGCTATAAATATAAAGAAGCTGAAGGCTTATATCCCCATTCTGCTATCTCTCAAGTACCCTATCATGTTGACCATATATTTAAACCAACAATTTTCTCATTCTCATCTTTTACTACAACAATTTTCGTGACAAACTCAAATTTACATCATTTAATTGGATTTGGTGCATCACATTATGCAATGCATCAATGTTCGATTGTCAAAAATGGTTTGTTAAGCGTCACATTCTACAATGCATCAATTGAAAATAACTCATCGCAACTTTGAAGTAGCTAAATTTACTTTAGAAGGCCATGAGACCTGAAAATTCATATGCAATATGCCTTCAATTCCTTTCCGACATTTTATCAAATACTTGGCCATGGTTATTGCTACTTGTGCTTGACAAATATAATAGTTCTTTCGAGACGTTAAAAACAACAAAAATAAAATTAGCATCCTAACATTTTATAAAGTCCATCTCTTTCAATTGGAGCAGATTATTTTTCTGCTTGAAAGCATAAAAGAAAGTCCAGATATAAGGATGACGACGATAGAATATGGAGATTTTGGGGGAAGTCACCTGCTTGACATGTTATTATTTCAGCTGTTAGCTTTTTAACAGAAGGATGATTATTGCTAAGTTTAGGATAGTTAAAGGATATTTTTTGTTCACATTTATATCACAAGGATGCCTCTTAAGTTTGGGTTATACTTCAGGGATGATTTTAGCCCAAAACTCCAAAATGGTACAACTCTGTGCCAAAATTACAAGAAACAGCCTAGATAATATACAGTACTGATATCTGTGTAGATTGCATCACTATCTACACATAAAAAACTCACTACAACCAATAATATCTCAGCGTTTTCTGAACACAATGTTTATCATCTCTTTCAAATTTCTGCAGGCCACAATCTCAGTATCTCCAAGATCTAAAGCTGACAGTGATGTTTCAGCTGATTTGGGAATTATACATTTCTTGTATCCCAGCTTCACCACTGTATTTATCCTTTTGTCCATTCTTGGTACCTAATTTTTTTTGAAAGGGGAACAAATAGAAGTCGATCAGAACAGGAGGAAGAGGAAGAGGAAAAGATCGTGTCTTGTGCACGGTGGGCAAGTATGGTGCAGCATACAATCTCCAGCTAGAAACCATAATGCTTTTTCTTGAAAACCAAATGGCCTACTGTTGGATGCATGGAACATAATTAATGATTAATTCCTACCAACAGTTGTGCTGAAGGTTAGATAGTATGCATGAATAATAGTTTATTTTTTATAACAGAGGAAATGGAAGACCATTAAAGCATACTCATGAAATCAGAAAAATCATGTAATATGGGAGGGCTAAATTTATGAGTTTGAACAGAAACCAACAATTATAGTTTGAATCATATTTCTGCCTTTTTCTAAAAAAAAAATATATTGATATCAACTGGCTTATTCAAATTTGAGGATGCTATTTGATCTCAATGCATTGTATGAGGGGTCCACATAGCATCCTCTAATTTGAGAAAGCCATGTTATCAGGATGCAAAGTCCAGAAATTTTACAAAAAAATACTTTAAGAAGTGTACAGAAAGTTGGAAAAGGAGGGTTGGGTAAGTATACATACCGTACGAATTTCACCACCAAGGCCAATTTCCCCAATGAATGCAATGCCCACAGGAAGAGGGAATTCCAAAAAACTGAAAAGGACACGACACACATGCTTACAAACATCTACATACTTGACAAGAAATGTAAAAACAATTACAAGAAGTATGACAAATGCAGAAATCCACTAGTCTATTTCACTCTCAAGATTGATATCACCCTTGTGGCATAAAAGAAGGTTCCAATTCATGTTAAAGAAGGATAACCTAAATTTGACTGTTTATACTGAAAACCAGCACTATTATCAACTTCAGCAAAGCCATGCACAAATCTATTTGTTTTACTTTAATAGGGGCTAGGGCATTGGTCATGTCGTTCACATTGTTTTGCTTACAGCTAGGCAAATGTATCTTCCAATTCAAGACAAGCAAGTTCATGTCATCAAGAAAAACTGCATGATTTTTTCTTCTTTTCCATTTCTGTTCATTCACTTCCCTCTTTTGTCTTTTACATAGTAAGATATTAATGTACAGAAAACATCCACTAATATCAGGTATTACTTCGTAATTAATGTGACACCATTTAGCTCAGCATGGAGTTTAAGCTGTCTATTTGACTTCTATGTTATACAGGAAGTAAAACAAATTAATACTTTCAAAGTTAGTTACAGGAAAAACACCCCATCAAATTATATGTTTGATTAATTGAAAGAATTTGACCTTCTAAAAATTGTGAAGTTGTGTAAAATAATAATACAAATTGAGACAAAGAACTATGTAGGTGGTGGACCTGAGCAGACAGATGACTAGAATATATGAAAAGAATACCTGCTGCAAATTGCTGCTGCTACTGCAAGATCACCAGCAGTCTCTGACAGGCTAACACCACTGACAACATTGAGAAAAACTCCCTATAATCAAATTAAACAGGAACTATATCAAAGATCTAAATAATATATCAGATTGCAACAGAAAATAGAAAGTACACACTGAGAAACCAAATATATATATAACAGAAGACCAAATCAAAGAATACCAGATAAGACACCCTACGGAGAAATCTGTCTATGTAAAAGTGAATACATTACATTAAAAATTGCCAAATGCTTTAGTATATGTTAATGGTGCTCCTAATAGCCATGTCTTTTTAAGTTGGTAAGGTTTTTCGAAATCAGATAGATCAAAATACCAATTCATTTGCATGAATGATCTCTCTTCTATTATGAAAACCTGGCCATTATGTTGCCAAGAAAGATCCAGAGTCATTTGAAAGCCAGTTGATGGAAATTAACAAAAAACTTTAAAATCCAACTATCAAAGGGATCACAATGAAGGTAAAACAAGAACAAACTAAGATTTAGAGTGCTTAAGTCATTACCATAGAAGACTTTATGGGGTTACTGTAATCCACACAATCTAAAAGTCATATGCAGCACATAGAGAAGGAGCAATAAAAGGAAGAAAGTATTGGGGAAAGGTTCATTAGAATCATTACATTCTCTTGCAGCTTGAGACCAGCTTGCTTTATAAGAACCTGAATACAGCAGTAAAGAAAACGTTATTTGCAAACTTCAGCATATCTGATCCAAAATACTAGCCCATGGCATCTGAATTATTCAGTTTCAGGAAATGAAAAGGACATATTAACAATTTCCAAGAATATTAACTGGTTTCTGTACAGTAATAAAGAACCAGTTAATTTGCAATCTTCAGCATATCTGATTCCAAATTAGCCCATGGATTCTGAATCATTCAGTTTCAGGAAAAGGACAAGGGAATATCAACGATTTTCAAGAATTGGCATGTGGGCCACAAGTTTCAGCACATGTAATTTCCTTGCAAAATTTCTTTACGAGTTCATTTAAACTTCGGAAGGAGTAATCACTCACTGAAATTATCATCTCAGCTCTGCCAGCTTGAACACCATTTACTTGTCTTGAGACAGATGAACCAGCAACACACAATGCCTACATGGATATAGACTTTCTTCAAACGATAAAAGAATGTATGAGAAAATATTACATTAGAAGAGCAGAATCTTATAAGGCCTGATGGCCATTGACTTGAAAAAAAAAACATTAGAAGCGCAGATTCATGTGGCCATAACTAGAGAGATACTTGCTTAAATCACAAGCTCTTCCTTCCCCTCATTGGTACACCTGTGCAGTTATCATAGCTTTTGGAGAAAATGTAGAGAAGATGTTGCACAAGGAAATATCACTACACCATTTTTGTTTCCAGGACCTGATTCTAGCTCCATTGCTCACTTGACTTTGATGTTTGTCATAGAAATTCCACCCCCACCACCCCAATATCTTTGTCATACCGCTCCAATTCCCCTCATATCTTTGTTATACCCCTTTATAGTCCTACCCCATAAGGCATGGTAATTTAATCAGTCCTTCATTGTCCTTGGGTTCCATATTTGTCAATGATGAACCTTCTTCACAACCCTTGGTTCCACTTGAGCATAAACCTAAAGACTTGAGAATTGAGAAGAGACTAAGTCACGTGTTAATTGCTAGACTAGGTTGGCACTCTGCTCTCGGCAAATTTATACAAAAATGATAATTACAAGAACAATAACTAATAAATGTGATTATCGGGACTCTGGTGTAATATGCAGGATGTATAGAGGAAAGATAGCATGACAGACTTTATCAGCTAACTACTGGAGTAATCTCTGATAAGGGAGAACCCTCCTTTCTGTTTTTGCACAAGGAGACCTTCTATTCTGTAATTACCAGAACTAGCTTAGTGCTTGGCAGCTTACATCAAGAGATACCCAAAAACAAATTATTGCATAAAGACATACCTGAATTTCAATAAGAAAGGCTCGAGATCCATCCATAATTACAGTAACAGCTAATCCAGCCAGAAACTCAGAATCCGACTGCTGTTCACTTAGAAACATTTCACTTGGGTTTGAAACAGCCTGCAAGCCTGATTGTGACATTTCAAACACTCCAAGCTGCAGGCAGAACATGTCAGAGCATACAATAGACAAAAAAATACATTAAAAATAATAATTCAGGAAGTCACTAGGGATGGTCCAAATATTCAGTATGATATTTCACAGATAATCATAACTAGTCCTGAGATGAGATCCTACAAAGAGAATAGCATAATCCATACTAAAGGGGTTTGAGAAATCCTTTGACAATTTTACTCTATATTAAGTCAGGCCTCTTTTGTCCTTCAAATTAACTTTTGGAAAATCTTCAACCATGAGAAAGTGATAACCTTTCTCAATCAGGATATGCTGACCAGATAAGAAGGATAACCTTCTACTAAACTTGAAACTAACTGATTCATGCAATGCATAGATCTTCCTTTTAAGTTGCCCCTCGTTTCCCCATCAAACAATGAAAAAGAAGCTTTGTTTCAAGTCCCATGAACATCTAAAATCATATAGAGCATTTCAACAAAAGGAAAGAACAAGAAAAATGAGCAGAAGCATCTGAATACCTCATCTGTGGATCCAAATCGATTCTTCACTGAACGAAGTAAACGATGAGATGAACACTTCTCTCCCTGCAATTTTCAATGGGTGACCCGAGCATTGATGAGAAGCAGATATGGCATAATCAAAAGCAAGAATAAGAACCTCCTAAAAGAAGGAAAAATAATAGAGAAAATTCTTCTACGGAGGATGTGTAGTGCTCTGTCTTGCAAGAGCGGACTCCAGACACATTAAATTCTAAATGCAACCAAAAGAAAATATGCACAAACATAACTTATTATCTCAATTAAGTAAAAAAAGGGCATGCAAACGAGCCAATGAAGCCACAAATTATAAAGGATACACCCAAATGTTCATGGACTCAGAATAAATTAACCAAGCATTCTACACTTGATCACTAAAAAAAATAGGCACTTTACCATACAACATTACTAGCATGAGCACATGGTTTCATCTTCAGTGTCAAAACTCAAAAGCCATATCAAAATCTCTTTATTCTCTTTAAAAGATAAATCCAAGCTAGAAAAAAACATGTGTATACAGCAAATGACTTCAAAGTAAGAGAAGATACTGCTCAAATCTGAAATTCAGAAGGTACCAACTTCCATATAGAGAACAACATCAACTATGTGTTCCAAGACGCGAGGACCAGCTATTTCTCCAGATTTAGTCACATGTCCAATCTGAAATTTCCCAAGTTTAGTATCAGATCAACAGATAAATAACTGGCAAAGAGAATAGAGGAAGATTTCTCTAAACCTATCAATGGATTCTGGCTGCTGACAGCATATCATCAAGTCAGAAAACAAATTCTAGTTGTGCATAGGTTCATAACACATAGCAAAAATTTATCCATCGAAGAGAAAAAAGAATATATCCTCTGATAAGGTAATCGAAATGATACCTCTCAAATAAAGGTGAAACTCCTCTTATTATTTTTACCTCTGTCATAAAAAATACTATATAAAAATATTGAGATAATTTAATTTACTTTTGCGAAGGAGGAGAGGACGAGAGGGTAACTAAAGAAAGCCACCTAACGTGACAAAAAAGACAAACAACCTTAAATTAAGTTACAGCAATAAATATCATCAACCAGATGTCTTAAGTTAAAGCACAGTGCTCAATTGTCCATCCTCACCAGAAACACGGGGATATTGGTCTTCTTGGCAAACCGCAGCAATACTTCTGTGCATTCTTTTACCTGTCATGAATGAATCAGCGTTAAGTAAGATGACTGAACACCATAGTGAGAAGCAACTTAATGGTTGTCTATCTCATTAGTTTAAAAAACAGGTAAACAAAGCTTTATCAAGACATCCTTTAGAGGCAGATTCTTTCTGAAAACTCTGTTAGCACAGCTGCCTTGAGACAAAGGATTTACTTATAGGAAGCTTCTTCACATGATAGCTTTCAATAACAAATGAATCTAGATCTACCCTCCCATTCAAATGGATAAAAAGCTCGGATGAACTCTCAGCAAACCTCTCACTATTACAAAATATAGCACAAAACAGTGAACCTGTGATAATACAAAAGGTAGTACAAAACAGTGAACCTGCGATAGACCACCTGCACTTCCAGTTACTCCTCTCAGATATACTGTCTGGATGGAATCAATTACCAAAGCTCGCAGTGAGAGAGTTTGGGTCTTTTCCAAAATATCCTGAAGAAAGACGGAAACATGGAATAAAACATAAACTCATCAGATTTATTCACTCTAAGCATCTGTTAAACAATTATCTCATTCTGCAACCTTCAAGTAATCCAGGTTATTTGTTGAACAAATATGCAAAGGACCTAGTCTTTACAAGAGAAACGAAGCACATGAACTAATACAAAGCTATCTTTCATCATTGACATAGATAAACGGCCTATCTTTCATTAAATGATCATTTTTATAGATTGCATGTTTAAAGATTATAAAGATAAAAATATTGATATTCCCATCCTTCCTTCACTTATAGACTCCTTGAGTGAGATGCAATTTCGGCTAAACATTGGTCACATCTAAAAATATCATAAGTTGGTTCAAAAAATAAAATCGAAGTACAACTAGAAAGATATTTTGGTAAAAACATGCTAGGTAATATACCGCTAACTTTATGTTCTAGGGTCCGCAAAATCAGCTTGTCTCCAACTAAACAAAGACTACAAACATTTTACACCTCGTTAATTATGTGATGAAGTACTGAGGACGACTACTAAGTTCAAGCTTTTTGATTATTACAAGCCTATAAGGTGAAGTGCTTGCATGGTATAACAAGCCAATTTAAGATTACTAGTCAACTATCAATTCGAACAACTACTTAAAAAGGTCAAGCATACCAAAAATAAATTGACATTCATAATTATTGAATGATATAAAGGGGTTAACCTCAACATCTGTACTTGCATATAAAAATAGTTCATCTGTCCCAATTCTCATCCGATCAGCTCTGTTCCCAATTTGCTCAATACTCTGCCATGCAGATGACTCAAGACAGTAAGATACCAATATTTTTCATGAGCATAAAATTGCATACAAGGAAAAAGACTTATTTAAACAAGAAAGCTAGGATATAAATTTGGAAAATTTACAAGCCATCAACATTTTCCCAAATTTTGTTTCGTGTATTACAAGGCCAAAGGACTAGTATCTGCACTCAAAAAGAGTGTGCTCCCTCAAATTACCGAACTTGAAATCATGTAGTTTTTTTATATAATTGTTATTCCCATTCCCTTTTCCAGATAAATCAATCACTTCTCCTTCATGAACCCATGCCCTTGGTCTAAATTTCAGTTTAGCAGATGCAATATATCAAAAGCTTAAAGAAGAATAATGGCACTGCCCAATTAAGAATGATAAGCGCCCACCTCTTCCCCAGACACATAGAGAACTGGTGCTGGTCCCCCCATATCACACCCTTCTGCAACTATGGCTGCAATCTTGCAATAGAGAGTAAGATAGTTAAAGTGATTGGAGAATAATAGATAACTCCAAATAATATGACCTAAAACGAAAAACTTATGTCGCACACAGCATCATACCTGTAACAGTAATGTGCTCTTACCAACACCCGGATCACCTCCAATTAAAACTAAGCAACCTGCAACATAGAAAGGTGAAAAAATGAATTGGTCCTTGTTGAGAGGGTAGAGACCAGCTTACCTATTAAAGAAAAAGGTAAAGACCAAATAGCTCTCAATAAGTCAAAGTTAAAATGCTCCACGAAAGCAATGGGAACATTTAAATAGTGAGAAGCAAAGACTAAAGGCAACCTAGAGAGTGACTGTACATTTAGCAGCATTTATTTATCTGCAGGCATAGATTTAAAGTTGGTTGATGCTCCTAATCCATCTGTGGTACAGTTCAAGGTGTAGCCTATTATAGTGCTCACCATAACAAATACAGGTAAAAAAGAATTACAGAATGCAACAACTCTGGAAGCTTTCTTTTTTAATTTGCAGGTGGATAACTAAGTCTTTTATATAGAATATACTCGGGCTTCTAGCAAAATTGCAAAGTTAAAGTGAACGCTGTAGTAACCCAATTTCATTAATAACAGAGTAGCAAGCTGACTACATTACTTAAGTTATTGCTGGAATTCTTACAGAATAGTATAGATACTTGGGTCCATAAATTCATGCCTCATGGACCATTAATAACAGAGTAGCAAGACAAAATGAACTTCATGTAAAAGCAGGGTCTGAACATGGCAGTACCTGGCACAAGACCACCACCAAGTACTCTTCCCACTTCAGCTCCAAAAAGGCCAGACCTATAATAAGACCATTAATTCAGAGTGTTCATTGACATTTATCAATGATCTCCCTATATATTATATATGAACCTTAAATGGCCAAAAGAACTCATCCAATGATATGAACTTAGAAAGATGCAGTAGCATTCATTTTTACATTATTAAATTCAGTGTTCCACTAGAATCAAATTGATTTACGATAGTCCACCTGGTCCTACAGTCTTGTCAAAATTTCACCTAATCTAAACATTCACTCCTTCGAGAAGCTAGAAAACTTGGTAGATATTCCAAGTTTCCAACTAAAACATAGACAGCATTAGTGTATAAATAAACTAGAAAGCCAAAATCTTAGCATCATATGCATAATACATAGACAAACTCAAATTCAAGTTGGTACAAACTGTCACTTCACTTACAGAGGGATTCGCCAATTCGATTGATTAATTCCCTTATTCACATCAGTCAATTTCGTGGGCATAGCTCTAACAGACTGATGAGGCAGCCACGACCTTGTCACATTCTCCAAAACCTCAAACCCACTCGTGAAATGCTCTACCCCTTCAGAAAACCGCTTCATAGTATTCACCCCATTACACTGCTTACATATCCCCCACCACTGTCCATCATCATACCCACAATCAGAACACACCCACACTGTTTTACTCTTCCCTTTCCCCTTCTTCTTGTTCCCATTCCCTGTAACCTCATAAACCCTACCCTTTGAACCCAAAACATTGGAGTAATTTGCACTCGATTTAGACTCCCTTTGCGGAACATTCTCACCACTAGGGTTTTCTCGAGCAGCTGAAGGAGCGGCCCAGCCTTGTACGGCGTCTTCGGTGAGAGCTGTGGACTCTTCAGGGAAGTGTTTCCGGCGAGTGAAGTGGAATTGGCGAGAACTGCATATGACAGTAAAACGGAGAGACGAAAGGGGGTTTGTTGGAGGGAGATTGAGCAAGTGTTTTTGGAAACGGAGAGCTCTTAGCGCTTGCATGTTTGGTACTTGCATTTACAGAGAAAATGGAGGATTCCGGGAGTTTATAGGCGCAAATTTTGAACAGAGCACTCCCACTGACTGATAAACGGCGGGAACGGAAACTCGCTCTTATTAGCTTTTTGGTAACCTTTTTTTTTCATCTTCCGGTTTTCAATATTGTAGACCCCACTAAATTCAAATTATGTATCCATTTGTTGGAACAAAACAAATGATTTTTTTTTTCAGTCTCGAATTCAAAAACTTTTGTCGGACATGACTAATAAATATAATAAAAATAATAATATATTCAACATAATTTCAGAAATTGAATCCATAATTTAACGACTAATGAATGAAGAACTTATGATTCATATTTTATAGAATAGTAAATTTTTCGTTTGATAATAAATTGGTACTTATCTCTCATAATTTATTTGAAATACATATATAATACCAAACAAATATAGTTCAAGATGTTATACGTCTACTTAGGAGTTAGAACATACTGTGTTAAAGTTCAACCAACTACAAATTAAGTAAAACTTAAGCATATATGATTCTATTTATTTATTTTTGAAACTTAGTACAATTAAAATCTTCAATTGAAGATTAAAGGCGATGTAACTAAAATATTTGGCATGATGTTTTTTTTTAAAAGTAATTGCATGAATTTAAAACTCCGTTACCAACAAAAAAGGAAATTAATATAAAATCTAAATTATATTCCCTTAATGGATTATAACAAAAGTTCATATTTTTTTCATCAAACGATGCATTCATCGACATTAAATGTAACATCAAAAAATTATAATTGTATCTTTTTGTTAAAAAGAAAGGCTTCACTAAAAACTACTCAACTAAGCGTTCAAGCATTTAAAGTAAAAAAAATCATGAAAAACACAATTTGTAATTAGAAAAGATGTTTGAATTTTAAAAAAGAAGAACAAATGAAATTCAAGACAAAACATTTTTTTAATATTCAATTTAATCTATCATTCGCTAATAGTTAAAATGGTAAATAAAATCATCCATTTAAGAAGAATTAATCTAAATAGTCACCTATTTAAATATTTAAATTTAAAATATCAGTATATAATTTATATAGATTGACTAAAAACAAGTAAATAGTAAACCATTATACATGTTTAGATATGTCTCTCTAAAACAATTTTTCTATTTTCACAAAATAGAGTTTAGGCAGGATATATTGTTATAACCTATTTGCATAGTTATATTGATAAATTATTGGAGACAATACATCATTACCCCATTCAACTATAACACTTTTTTTAAAAAGACACTCGAACTTTACAAAGGTCCTAGTACCCCCTTAAACAATTTAAAAGTGGTAAAAGTATCTCATTTTTCCATCAACCCCAAATATAAGAAAGGAAGTGCATACACGCACCAATCAATACTTACCACGTGTCAATTAGGTTACTTTTAAAATTTTATTTTCATATATGTTATTTCTTATTCATTTTTAAAAAAAAATAATAAATAATTTATCTTTTCTTCTTCTTCAAAAATAATTCAACATCAATAGCCGTTCTTTTCGCCGGCGGCGACAATTCTCTCGCATAGCCGTCACTGCCATAACATCAATAACATATCTCAACAATGGCTAAGCAAATCTATAGGAGCAAAATTTCTTCTATTTTCTCCCATGGTTAATCTTCTTCTTTTTTAGTAATTTTGCTCGAAATCAAGATGTGTTGTAGCTGCAAAGACCGAAAGTCTCTCTCTAATTCAGATGGGGTATTTTCTACTTCGTTTGAACATGACCCCTGGCGATTCCCTCTTAGTTGTTCGTCGTCGCCGTCGATCTCTCTGGCACTTCTTTCCGATCTTCCTCCACCACGTCACTCCGCTTTCATCTCTTTCTCTTTCAACAATCTCATCAATTTTCTTCAAAGCTTTGGAGTGGAAATTTTCTATGGCCGCTAATTTATTTTTCAATGCAAGCATGACAGCTTGTTCATTGGAGTGCCGAGAGGTCCCAATTGCAAAAATACAATAAAACTTTTTTTATTATCAAAAATACAATAAACACAAATAGAGTAAAAAGAAAATCATATTTCTAACTAAATAAATGCTAAAATAAATAAAATAATATTTTTTTTGTTTATCTCACTCGCTAGTGGTGAGTGAAATACACGTTGTGTGCCACATAGGATCATTAGGGAGTAATTAATCCACCCTGAAAAAGAATAAGGGGATACTAGGACCTTTTCAAAGTTCAAGTGTCTTTTTAAAAAAAATGTTATAGTTGAATGAAATAATGATGTATTTTCTCAAATTATTGTTATACCGATATATTATTGTGGTCATCATATCATAGGTTATATATGGGTAAAAATTCCAAACATTAATACTGGGCCCAAAACCACGAACTCTTTCCCCAATTAAAAGACCGACTTTTCAAGACGCATCTTGACCCGCTCCATATCACGTTAGGGTTTTGAGAATTAGAGCACATTCCTGAAATTGCACTACAGCTACAGGAGCTTTTCGTGCAGTTCAGATTTTGAGAACCAAAAATGGGGAAAGCAAAAAAGGCTCCCAAATTCGCAGTGATGAAGAAAATGGTTACTCACAAAGCAATCAAGGAGTGAGTTATTGTGTTGATTCCCTCTTTCGCCCATCTTTTCTCGTATTTTGTTTTTATTTTTTGATTTTTAATTGTGTTTTAATTCCAGGCATAAAGAGGCAGTTTTGAACCCTAATAAGAAAGATTTAACTAAAGAGAAGCTCCCAAGAAACGTGTAAGTTTGTATTTTAGCTTCAATATCTAATTTAAAGCAAAAGACGTTGTTGATTTTGAATATTGAGTTGCTGGGTTATATGTTTCAGGCCTTATGTTTCGTCTGCACTCTTCTTCAAGTACAACACAGCTTTGGGGCCGCCGTATCTTGTTTTAGTTGATACTAACTTTATTAATTTCTCCATTCAGAATAAAGTAAGTGGCTTCTTTTTAATTTTGTAAATTAAAAGAATTTATTAATGTTTCACAGGCTTGGTGTCGTCTCCGCTATACATTTATTCCACCCAGCATTAAGCCTTCAAGTTTGTATATCTTGTTTGTACCATAATATGTGTTAGGAAAAAACATAGGATTCTTAAAAAATCTCACATCAGAAAGGTTTGAGTTGTTGAGAATTTATGTGGATAAAGGGGCTGTGACATCCATTATGCTTTAAAATTCCGGGCTTGGCAGCTAGAAATCAACTGAGTATCATATAACTTTAGATATTTAACTATATAGGTGATAGAAGTTCTTGCTTAGCTTTATGGTGCCCGGAATGATTAAGAACAACACACATTTTCTTCTCTCAGATTCATTGTCTTTCCCTTCCTTTATTTTCCATCCAATAGGTAGATAGTAGTTGCCTTTCTACAAAAAAGTCTGAGGACAGTGATTGCTAGTGAATAATGTGGATTATATATTATTTTTGTTGGCTCTCTGTCTAATGATGTATTTTACCTTGATATATGGTTTATTTCTGATTTCTATGACTAAGTTGATCGAGCTTACCTCTTTTGTTTCAGTTGGATTTGGAGAAAGGGATGATGGATTGCTTGTATGCCAAATGTAAGTTCCCTCATCCCTAGGTGGTTTCTCACTTTCCCCATCCCCGCTTCTTTATCACAATATCTTCCCTTGGTCGAATACATTTGTGTTTAAAGTATGGAGGCACATAATAGTTGTGTCTCAAAACATTGTCAAAATGAAATGAGATAACTGTGTTTTTTTTGTTTTAATTTTAAAAATTCTTGATGCAAGTGATTGCTACTGTGATCTATCTGAATTCATCACTGAAAAATCCCAAAGAAGAACTGGATTTGTATTTACAGAAAAGTTACATATTCTCCTTCCACAGGTACTCCTTGCATTACAGACTGTGTCATGGCTGAGCTTGAGAAGCTGGGTCAGAAATACCGCGTTGCTCTTAGGTACTTGTTTCAAATTATCTTTTGATTCGGTCACTAGTCAAAATGTATTAAGCTAATTGCTGTTTAGTTTTGTCCCTTTTTTCTCACACCTGGGAAGGGTGGATGATTTGCTAGAGCAGCGGTTTTTGTAGAGAAACTTCCCCCGTATGTATATTTAGTGATTCAAGGGCATTGTTAATTAGTTTTTATGGTTATAATTTTGTTTAATTTAATATCAACATAATAAAACAAACTATATTGTGTACATCTAAGGCTTAATCATTTCTTAGTCCTTCCTCGAATGCAAAGGGCGAAGAAAAAATAGAAACATTTTGTCACAAAAAAGGGGAAAAAGAAATATGCAAGCATTAGTAGAAGCTTTATCCCTTCACATAGATGGTTACGAATTGACGAAATGACTAGTAGATAAGCAGGAATCACTTCTGACCCCCACATGATGGAAAAAGTAAAAGGCCCTTAGACCAAAATAGACAATTTGACCTGAAGGAGATATGAGTTGATATGTGCTCCAAGGATAAACGCAGAACAGAAAACCTTGTTGTGGGTGGCCTGTATAAACTGTAAATAACTTATAATTTCTGCAAGACTGTTCTGTTTCTCCGTGTGCTCTTTTTTTTTTTTTTTTGGAACCAACCATTTCATGAGTGCAAAGAATACTACCTCGCAGAATCTTTTTCAGATCAATAGCAGGGCAGCTAGTAGCATTGCCTTAAATTGTGTTTAATTGAGCAAATTATGTTACTAGTCATGCAGATGCTCTTTTCAGCTTCTAGTGATGATAAACTTTGTATAGTACTAATGGATTTAAGTTTCTGTAATCTTTTGGAAGTTCTATGCAAAGAATAAATCTGTTTCTTCATCGTTATTTCATTTAGATTATAATGTGAACTCCTCCCTTTCAACAACAGAGAAATTGGTGGCAAAAACATGTCTTTTAGTTTTTGTTCCCATGATAATGGATGTTCTTATTCCCTTAAATTTTTCTTTGTTGTAAATAGAATTGCAAAAGATCCCCGATTCGAAAGGCTTCCCTGTACTCACAAAGGGACATATGCCGATGATTGTATTGTTGAGAGAGTTACACAGGTAAGATCTTAATCCATTGTGCATAATGTTCTCTGAATTTGTTAGTTGTGTAAACCAATTTGTAATCCTACTGCATGTGTGGATGATTTTATTTCTCTACAGCACAAGTGCTATATTGTCGCAACATGTGATCGAGATTTGAAGCGTAGAATACGCAAGGTATGACAGATTAGCTTGTATCCCTTTTTTTTGTACTCCTTTTCCTCTCTTCTGCTGTTTAACTCTCGTATTTTGTTTCTTATGTATATATATATATATATAAAAAAACTGTCATCTAAATTTGAATGATCAGATCCCTGGTGTACCAATCATGTACATCACTCAACACAAGTACTCTATTGAAAGGTTGCCTGAAGCAACGATTGGTGGAGGTAAAGCCTACTCATTGCATATATTGTCTCTTTCTTACAGCTGCAAAAAATTTTACTCGGAATTTTTCAAAAATCTAAATCCCTAGCACTTGTTGGGGTTGAGGGGTTAGTTCCTCACCCCCACCTTGACGTAATAAAAAGGGAACACGCTTATCCTTTTCTAGTCAATTGTTTCTCGATTTCTCATCTAATCTCTTCTTTACTTGTATTTCTGCAGCTCCAAGATTTTGATGATATGGAAGCTAACAATGAATTCCCAAGCTCTGGATGGTGGTTCCAATTGCCAACATTTTGTCACTACAACAAGACTTCCATCTCTCTGCAGTGTTGGATGATAATTGCTGAAATATCATTGTCAATTTTGTACCTTAGGAATTTCTGTATCCCAAATCCCAAAGATATGAATCTTTTTCATTTTGCTGGTTTCTGATAGAAAAAAAATATCCGCATTTGGGATCTACTTGCGGTCCGTGTGTATATTGTTGTGCTGAAGCGCATACCTTGCTAGAACTATTATCAATGCTCTTATTAGCTGTAATTCCTCAGCCACAATGTCTCACCGCGAATGAATACACAATTTGAGTATTTATCCATTTCTGTGTTCAAATGTAGAATGTGATACTGGGGTTAAAATTTTAATTTGCGTTAACTTCATAGAGTATTTGAGTAGAGGGCTTTTGAGGAGTAAAAATGTCAGTTTCTCTGTTTTGAGAATCGATTTATGATAGTTAGGAAGTTCATACGTGATTTGTGTGAAGCTTTTGTGTATAGTCCCGACTACCTAAACTTTCCCTTTGTTGTTTAGAGTTCGATTTCTCATTTTGTAATCTTCTTTCCTTTTTTTTTTTTTTTAAAAAAGAATTAATTATATTTATGAATGAATTTAACTATGATATCATTATCTACTAGGCCTAAAAGATGCACATGAAACCTATAATAATGCATTGAATTTAGATTTGTCTCCTTTTTTTGCGCCGCATGTAAATAAGTATTTCACATAAATATTGAAATATCAACAACAAAAAACAGTACATCTATAGGCCATTATCTCAAAATATATATACATTGATATAGAGTACTAGGAATAAACTTTGATTATAATTATCCTAACACCATTATCATTTTCTAACTTTATCATCCTGGAGAAGTGATTCCCCCTCTCCCCTTGCTTGTTTGTTTTGTGTTGTTGGGGGTATTTAGATGAGGAGGAGGAGGAAGAGGGAAACTCAAATCCATGATGATGTTTGTAAGAAAAATTGATAATGGTGAGAGATAATAGGAACATAATAAGGCCTGTTGTCTTCAAAGTTGGCGTTGTTTTGGCTATATCTCTTGGTGGAATTATCTATACCATTTTCAGAACCAAAAGAATCAAACCCTCAAATTCCAATTCCAAATCCAATTCATCCCCACCACCATACGCAACAGGTTCATTTTTGTATTTTAATGCTTTTTTCTCCTAATATTTTGTTTGATTTTGATTTTGATTTTGTGAATTGAGTTTACAGGTGGTCAAAATTATGAGCTCACAAATATTGATGATCATGCCTCCCCTGCAACTCCGTCACCTTCCTCCCGGAAATCAGAGAAACACGTAAGATTATACATTTGTTCTTTGTTAACAAAATGTGTTGGGTAATATAGTTAGATTTGTGGGAAGTTGTACCAGGGCTAGCACTTATCTTGTCGAACCTGGCCAGTCAATCTCATGTCATTGCTATTTGGTGCTCGAACATCATGTATTTTTAGGTCATTAGTCAACAACCCCATGGACAGCGAGCGAGAAATAGGGATGACTTCACATTGTTTCAGGGAAATCCTCTCCCTCTACAGTTGGCATTGAACAATTTATGTTAGTAGTGACAACAAAAGAAGTTGCTTCATAGTGAATCTTTAAATTGTTCCTACAACATCTATTGGTTGTTGCGAGCTAATCTGTTTTTTCATTTCTCTTGCAGGAGGAACTTCACATCTCTAAACACATTATTGATAATTCCACAGGTGTTCCATCTAGTAGTGGTATATTCAATGCGGAGAGAGAGGGATTTTTCCTGCCAGAGTTCAATGAACTTGTAAAGGAACTTGCTTTATCTACCTCAAAGAGAGACATTGAAACAGTGATGCAGCATGAAGATTCACCCAGAGAATATAGAATTGTAGAAATTGTTAACCATGAGCAAGAGATTAAGAGCCTGAAAAACATTGTTAAAACTCTCGAAGAGAGGGAGAGGATTCTAGAAATACAATTGCTCGAGTACTATGGTCTCAAGGAGCAAGAAACTGCTATCATGGAACTTCAAAATCAACTAAAAATAAACAGTGTGGAGGCCAAGGTTTTTGGTCTCAAGATTGAGTCACTGACCGCGGATAAGATGAGGTTAGAGGCTAAAGTGTCTGATTATGGAAAAGTTGTTTGTGAGCTCGAAGCTGCAAAAGTCAAGATTAAGCAACTAAAAAAGAAAGTGAGATCAGAAGCTGATCATAGTAAAGAACATATTTTAGCCCTTCAAGAAAAAGTTATGAAGTTGCATGATCAGGAAAAGAAGACTGTTGAGGCTGAATCGGATGTCCAGTTAAAGCTCCGAAGACTCAAGGATTTAGAGAATCAGTCTGATGAGTTGAATAAATCTAACCAAAGTTTAAGAAAAGAAAATTCAGATCTTGCTCATAGATTAGAATCTGTTCAGATCATTGCTTCCTCTGTCTTGGAGAACGAAGAAGTAATTCTTCTGTTCATGTTACCTTTCATTAATCGCTTTGTTTAGTGTTGTGTACTTATTGAACATTTCTTGTTTCAGACAGAAGCACTGAAGGAGGAAACTCTACAGCTGAAAAAGCAAAATGAGGATTTAGCAAAGGATGTTGAGCGGCTTCAAGCAGATCGCTGCACTGATGCTGAGGAACTAGTCTATCTCCGATGGATAAATGCTTGCTTGCGGCATGAGCTGAGGAACTATCAGCCAGTCACAGGTAAGACAATTGCAAGAGATCTCAGCAAAACATTGAGCCCCAAGTCAGAGGAGAAAGCCAAGCAACTAATTCTTGAATATGCAAATAAAGAAGAAAGTCAAGGGGAAAGGGAGGTTAATGTTAGTGATCTTGATTCCGAATGGTCCTCCTCCCGAACATCCTTTCTTACAGACTCTGTTGAATTTGATGAAACTTCTACTGATAACTCATCACCCCGTAAGACTCAGTCTTCGAGCAAAAATAAAGTGTTTAGTAAGCTTATGAGACTCGTAAGAGGAAAAGGCTGCCCACTTAGTCGGAGTTCTTCTATGGATATGGTGCACACTCTAGAAGATAATGTAGCAGGACATTCTAGTTATTCTCCAGGGTACATCGATTCCGGAGCTAATGGTCTCAACATCAGGTCAAGAACGTCCTCGCAAGGTTCATCCAAACAATTTCTGGACCTACATTCTGTGTCTCAAGGTTCAAGGAGCGGCAAATTAGGAGAAAACAACAACTATCCGATGAATAGTAGGCAAAATAGTGATGGGGGTTCGTCGTCAGGTTCAAGAAGATTGGATTCACCTCAAGGAAACAGAAGTAAAGATGAGCCTGAGAAAGCAGAATTGCTGAAGTATGCAAAAGTTTTAAAAGGGTCCCGTTCTAAAATGGGATTTGGCAGGAGATCATCATCTACTAGTTCCTTCTAACATTTGTGCAAATAAAGTTTGCTCAAACAGTCACAGAGGCGGAATCATGGTTTAAAACTCACGACTTCTGAATTCTAATCATTTTATGTTACTGAGTTTGTACATATTCAATGAATTTTAAAGACAAATAACGAATCCACTTATGCCCATGGTTCAGAGCCAAAAAATATTACATAATCAAAAGATAATTATAGGTAATACTAATATGTAGGCAAAACATCAATGATATAAGCGATTTCTACATCACAACTACAAGCATCACAATGAATGTGGACATGTTCATCGTCACTGTCAAGCCAGCCATTCCTGCGAATGTTTTCTTCATGTTGAATAGTGCAACGAGCGGGTCTTTTTCCCAAAATTAAAGGATTCTTCACCCAAATAATTTTCAAGATCTCTACTAAACTTTTTCGACATTGCCTTGTTATTTTTCTAAGTGCCTCTGTTTCTTTCATGATGCCAATCAACTTTACCCCTTTTTGCTTATATTCACCCCCCCAAAAGACTCCTATTATGCCAATCACATACAATGCCCCAGAGTGGTCTCCGTTTGCTGCTTGTTTCAGAAATTCCATTGCAACTTCTGGCTTATCGTTTTTGAAAAAGTCCATCTGAAAATAAAAACACATTCTTTTTTCAAAAAAATTGAGTTGCAAGTATCTAGTAGGAACAAAGTAAAGAGTAAAGTTTAAAATTAATTATTACCACGCCTTTTCTGTATAATGCTTCTGTATTTCCACATTTTCTACATTGCTCCATGAAAGAAGTAACTCCATTTATCTTTTCTTGCGTTTGCTTTTTCCATGAAGGTTCAATCGGAAAGTCTACCAGCGTTACCTTCTGATATACATATCGTTTCTTTGCGACTTTATTAAAAATCTTGCAACTAAAATATCAATTGATTAAAAAAAAAAAATTCTAAATGCCAACCTGGTGAAGAGCGGGAAACAACACATAACAAAAATACATAATCCGTAGATTCTAGTGCAAATGTGTATGCAGAGGATGCAAAATAAAATATATATTGAAACATTAAGAAAATACTATAATGTAGTAAACAATTAATTAAAATATTGACAGAACAGTAATTGGGAGAACCAGTAGATCAGAAGAAAATTAACTAGGTTGTATTCCTACTTATAAATATATATATATACCTTAGTTTGACGTTGATTAAATCCTTAAAGGAAGAAGAAGCAACCTTTGCAACAATTTCAGTAAGTAACACTCTGGGAAGCAATAAAATGGAAGAACAAGAATTTTCTTCTATGACTTTGTTATTACTATTTCTTCTTCTTGTGGTCCTCTGCATATTTTTTCTTGAATGACCATTGATCAACATTATTTTTCTTGAAGAAATTTATTATTACATTACAAACAATGAATGCAATTGAGTTATGTGTTGGGTTTTAAAAAGTTTGAATAGAAAAATGAAGAGTTATGAATTTTTTGAAGAGTTATGACTTTTCCAAAGGGTTTTGTCTTTTTTGAAATGTTGTGACTCTACCGAAAGATTATGACTTTTATGATGAGTTTCAATTTTACTGAAGGGATCTGTCTTTTCTGAAGAATTGTGACTTTTCTAAAGAATAAAATATTTGATTGTTGCGAACTAATCTGTTTTTGTTTCTTTTGCAAGAGGACAGAGATGGATTTTTCCTGCCAGAGTATTATGGTCTCAAGGAGCAAGAAACTGCTACCATGGAACTTCAAAATCAACTAAAAAAACTAACAATGTGGAGGCCAAGATTTTTGTTCAATGTTCAATGAAAATTTGAAGGCAAATATCAGACTTGACAAATAACGAATCAACTTCATTGTTCAAAGTAAAAAAATATTACATAATCGAAAGATAATTACAGATAATTCTAATATGTAGGCAAAATGCTAATGATATAAGCAATTTCTTCATCACAACTACAAGCATGACAATGAAAATCGACTTGTTCATCATCACTGTCAAGAGGCCAGCCATTCCTGCGATGTTGAATAGTGCAACGAGTGGGTCTTTCTCCCAAAACTAAAGGATTCTTCACCCAAATATTTTTCAAGATCTCTTCTAAACTCTTTCGACATTCCCTTGTTACTTTTCTAAGTGTCTCTGTTTCTTTCATGTTACCAATCAACATTACCCCTTTTCGCTTGAATTCACCACCCAAGAAGACTCCAATTATGCCAATCACATACAATGCCCCAATGTGGCCTCCTTTTGCTGCTTGCTTCAGCAATTCCACTGCAAGTTCTGACCTATCGTTTTTGAAAAAGTCCATCTGAGAATAAAAACACATTTTAAATACAAATTAGTATCAATTAGGCACCTGAACACATACAAAAAAAATTCAAAATCTTGAGTTGTGAGTGTCTAGTAGGAAAAAAAAGGTAAGAGTATAAAGTTTAAAATTGATTATTACCACGCCTTTTCTATATAAGGCTTTTGTATTCCCGCATTCTCTGCATAGCTCCATAAAAGAAGTAACTTTATTTATCTTCTCTTCCTTGTCCTTTTGCCATGAAGGTTCTATCGGAAAGTCTACCAGTATTGCCTTCTGATACACGTATCGTTCATTTGAAATTTCATTAAGAACCTTGCAACTAAAATATCAATCAGTTAGGGAAAAAAAAATTGTTCCTTTAAAAAAATAAGATGTTTATAAATATATATATATATACCATACCTTAGTTTGACATTGATGAAATTGTTGAAGGAAAAAGAAGCAACCCTCGCAACAATATCAGTAAGTAACTCATTGGGAAGAGATTCAATTGAAGAAGAAACATTTTCTTTGATCAGTTTGTTATTATTACGTCTTCTTGCAATGCTCTTCATATTTTTTCTTGAATGACGACTGATCACCATTTTTCTTTGAACAATTAAACTTATGACAAATAATGAACGCAATTGTGTTATATATATTCGTTTTAACAGCTTAGTTTCTATTTCTTTCAGGTTTCCTTCTTTAAATCGGATTTGGTTGATTTTATTTTTTCTTCTTATTTCAGGTGAAAGTAGGAAAGTGTGTTGGCGTTACTAGGAAAACTTTCCTTTTCTTATATGTACGTTGTGAGAGGTTTGATTTTAGAATTTTTTTATATAACTTTACTATTTTATTTAAATTGTGTAACATTGGGCAGGGCAATGAGTAAAAAAAATTGGGATGGGTTTTTTATTTAGAATTTGGAAATTTTAAGTGGGTCTTTTTATTCCCTAGCTTCCGAGTGGGCAGTCCATCTAAATTAAGAGGAAATTATTGTCACAGTATAATTGTAGGGTTCAAATTAAACGTATAATGAAACAGAAGGTGTATTTAAATTATTTTTGATAAGATAAAGATATTTTGGACTATTCGGTATTCCTGTTGTCTTATTGACTATTGCGACACTTTACTAATAGCTACCTCATTAAATTTTCAGATAAACGCTACCTATATAGATAGAGGTTTGATTGTATAACCACATTCAATTTATTTTCTGACATTTTGATAAACATGGTTAAAAATATTCATCCGTTCACTTAAACTTTATACGATCTTAAGAAATAATAATTAATATGAATATTGTATATTAATATTCATATTAATTGATATATTGTTTTAAATCTTGAAAAATGATTCGAAGAATAAGTAATTAATGTTAGAGGGTAAAACATGATTTTTTTTTTCTTTTAATATGCTAAAAGTGATAATTACTCCTTATGTTCACTTTTATTAGTCCACTATTTCAAAAATAAATTTTTATTTTTACTTGTCAATTTTAACATATTAAGAAAAGACAAATTTTTTTCTTGCAAACCTTACGTATTTCACAAATCATTTTTCAAAACCTAATAAACATGTTATTAATTAATAAGAAAATCATTTTTCAGAACCTAATAAACATGTTATTTTAATTAATAATAGTAGTATGATAAAACAGTCATATCAATTCTCTTAACCGTGTGTCAAGTTCAAATGTTAACAAGTAAAAATGAAAGAAGAGAGTAATAAAAATAAAATGTATTTTTAATATAACCGATAAGTAAATTTGAAAGGAAGGAGGTGTCAATTTGCATTTAATAGACAACTGCGGGAGATGCATCACACAGGGAACATTCATTAATAACAGAAATAAGCAAGGACAACAACACAAGACATCATTTTCATCTTCATCTAAACAAATACTCCTGGGAAGCCCAAGGTGAGAAACAAAGCGAAAATTTAAATAGCTAATCGACTGAGTTACTAAAATTCACAAATTTTATTGTATTAGTTATCCAATTAAGTAGATGCCTTGCATAATAAGCGTATCAGCTAGGACTTGGTTAGCAGCTTGAGATAGATGAATTCCATCCCAAAACACATACTCTGTTGCATTGCTGCAAGTCCCTGCTAACTTTGGGTTGCAAAATAGTGATGTTGTCTCCACTTTACCTGTCCCACAGCACCCTCGATTCGCTACCACAAATCCTAATAATCACCAAATGATTATGTCAATAACAAAGTTGTACGCAGGATTTTGTATAAGCAGTGTGGAATAGTAGACTTTATATGGAAAATTACCGTGGTCTGACGGAGAATTGACGAGGTCATACATGGGCTGGAAAACGTCAAAGATAGCAATCTTAAGGCCAGGAAGTTGCTTTCGCAATTGTATTGCAGTTGAATTCATCTTTTTGTTGAATTGTTTGGCATCTCTATTGATTTTTGAGATACAACCACTTTTATGAAATCCGAACATTGTTTTAGCAGCTGGGAGACACCCCAATGGTGGCAATGAAGTAACCCCAATTCTTCTTGCTCCTTGTCCATACAATTCCTGAAATAACAGAGGTGGCAAAATCAATCCATCAAAGTTTAAATCGGTTGGATTATGATCTGTTTATTGATTTGATCCAACATGTTAAATTCGAATAACTGATCCATCAGGCAAAACGACAAAAACAAGTGTATATGTTGACGAATCAAAATGCAACATTTATCACAACCTACTAAATTAAATAACTAACAACGACAACAACAAACTCAGTGTAATTTCACAGGTGAAGTGGGTCTGGCAAGCCGGTAGAACGTATGCAGAC